GAGGAGCAGGAAAGCTGATGTTTCGGGTCCAGACCCTTCAGGTCGAGACCCAAAACATCAGCTTTCCAGCTCCTCTGATGCTGCTTGGCCTGCTGTGTTAATCCAGCTCTACACCTTGTTGTTTCAAAATGATGTCCAGTCAGGATTAGGGGCTCAATTTAACACCCCCTTGCCGACGATTTGAAGAATGAGGTGCTGGGGGTTTCATTGAATTCAGCAGGCAGTGGTATATGTTTTGTTCCGAATCAACCTCTCCAGGGATATAATGCTGCACCTTGGAAGAGATGGAATTCGAGTCCGGGACTCAGAGGTTGAGGCATTACCATGGTGACACAACTTTTTTTTAAATTCGCTTGTGTTATGGACCCCCTCAAAATATTTGAAGAAGATAGCCTAGACCCTAACTTTTTCTTATTTTAAACTTAGATGTGAAGAGCTGTGTTCCAGATGCAGTGTGACTGGTCAGATTACTTGATGTTAAGCAAAACATAATTTATTTAAACACTATAGTTAAAATACAAGCAAAAGAAACAGGAATTTAGAATAACTTAACTATTGGAAAACTTAACTGAATAATCGATATAGTATCAATAACTAATTAACTGTTCCAATGTAGTAACATCCCATAAACACACCTCTTGACAAAAAAGCGCATTCAGACACAGATTCTCACATGCATTTCTCCAATCCAGGACAAAAGAAAACATCGAGAGAAAATTCAGCGAGTATAGCAGCTAGGAGACATTCACTGAAGCTCCAACTGTTTTTTTGAGACCCCAAGAACTTCTGATGTTACTGAAAGAAACAAAACCTAAAATCTGGATCTGTGAGAGCTGGCCACACCCATACCGACTGTTTTTAAAAAAAACCCCAAGGTTTCACAAGTTGCTTTCAGTAGCCAGTTCAGCACCTTTGCCTTACGACCTCTGTCCAAACAAAAGGACAAAATAACCTTTTAAAGTGACAGCATTGTCACATTTGTGGGACGTGGGCATCATTAGCTGGCCAGCATTCATTGCTCGTCCCTAGTTGCTCTTGAGAAGTTGATGGTGAGCTGCCTTTTTGAACTGTTGCAGTCCGCGTACTGTAGGTTGACCCACAATGCTGTTAGAGAGGGAATTCCAGGATTTTGACCCAGCAACAGTGAAGGAACAGCGATATATTTCCAAATCAGGATGGTGAGTGGCATAGAAGGGTACTTGCAGGTGGTGGTTTTTCCATGTACTTATTGCCCTTTTAGATGGAAGTGGTCATGGGTTTGGAAGGTGCAGTTCTAAGTGTCTTTGGTGAATTCTGCAGTGCATCTTGTAAATAGCATATATTGCTGCTACTGAGCATCAGTAGTGGATTTTTGTGGATGTGATGCTAATCCAGTGGACTGCTTTGGTTTGGATGGTATCAAGTGTCTTGAGTGTTGTTGGATCTGCACCTATCCAGGCAAGTGGACAGTACTACATCACACTCCTGACTTGTGCTTTCAAAATTGTGGACAGGCTTTGAGGAGTCAGGAAGTGCTTTTGTAGTCACTGCATTTATATGTCTTGTCCAATTCAGTTTCTGGTCAATGGTAACCCCAAAGTTGTTGATAGTGGGAAATTTGGCGATGGTAACACCATTAAACGTCAAGGAGCAGTAGCTGCATTATTTCTTACTGGAGATGGTCAGTGCCTGGCATTTGTGTGGCACGAATGTTACTTGTCACTTGTCAACCCAAGACTGGATATTGTCCAGGACTTGTTCCATTTGAGCTCATACTGTTTCAGTATCTAAGGAGTCATGATTTGTACTGAACATTGTGTAATCATCAGCAAATATCCCCATCTCTGATTTTTATGGCCCAAACATGGGTATCACTGAAAAGGTTACTGCTGAGCAGGTGCTGCTTAATAATACTGATGACATCTTCCATCACTTTACTGATGATTGTGAATAGACCGATGAAGTGGTAATTAACTGGTTTGGATTTGTCCTGCTTTTGTCTGCAGAACACACTTGGGCAATATTGGTGGAGTCGATGCCAATGTGGTAACTGTTCTGGGACAGCTTGGCCATGGGAGCAGCAAGTTCTGGAGCACAAGTCTTCAGTACTATTGCCAGAATGTTGGCAGAGTCCATTGTCTTTGCAATATTCAGTGCTTCCAACTATGTCTTGATATCACGCACAGTGAATCAAATTGGCTGAAGACTGGCATCTGTGATGCTGGGGACCACTGGTAGAGGTCAAGGTGGATCATTCACATGGCATGTCTGGTTTAAGATTGTTGTGAATGCTTCAGCCTTATCTTTGCATGGATATCTTGGGCTCTTCCGTCATTGAGGATGAGGATATTTGTGGAAACTCCTTCTCCCTTGACTTGTTTAATTATTTACTGCTATTCGTGACTGGATGAGGCAGGACTGCAGAGCTCAGATCTGATCCGTTGGTTGTGGGATTGCTTAGTTCTGTCGATCACATGCTGCTTATGTAGTTGGCATGTAGGTAGTCCTGTTTGGTGGCTTCACTAGGTTGCCACTTCATCTTTAGGTATGCCTGGTGCTGCTCCTGGACGTCCTCCTGCACTCTCCATTGAACCAGTGTCGATCCCCTGGCTTGATGGTAATGTTTGAGTGGGGGAAAATGCCTGGCCATGTGGTTACAGCTTGTGCTGGAGTACAACTTTGCTGCTATTGTTGGTCCACAGCGCCTCATGGATGCTGAGACTTGAGTTGCTAGATCTGTTTGAAGTCTGTCCTATTTAGCACGGTGATAGTGCTTTCCAACACGATGAAGGGTATTCTCAATGTGAAGGTGGGACATTGTCTCCACAAAGACTGTGCAATGGTTACTCTTACTGATACTGTCACGGATGGATGACTCTGCAGCCGACAGATTGAGGTCAAGTATATTTTTTGCTTTTGCTTCCCTTGCTAATTGCTGCAGACCCAGTCTAGCAGTTATGTCCTTAAGCATCCAACTAGATCGATCACTAGCCCCACGATGTCAGTAAGGAGGACTTTGCAGGGTTGACAGGGCTGTTTCTGCCATAGTCTTTTTCAGTGCCTAGGTCAATGCCAGTTAGTCTGCCTGGTTTCATGTCTTTGATGAGAATTTATGACAATTGACACAACAGAGTGGCCTGCTAGGCCATTTCAGAGTTGGGAGTCAACCACATCTGAAGTCACATGTAGGCCAGACCAGCTGAGGATGGCAGATTTCCGTCCCTGATGGTGATTAGTGAGCCAAATGAGCTTTCCCAATAATTGAAAATGTCATGGTCATCATTAGATTCTTATTTCCAGATAGTTTTATTTAATTCACATTCCACCATCTGCCATGCCAGGTTTTGAACACAGGTCCCCAGAACATTAGGTGAGTTTCTAGACTGATAGTCTAGCGATAATACCACTAGGCTATCGCCTCTCCAGTAACATCCTGGACAGGTAGGGCTATACAACAACCCCTGCCTCTACCAAAATTATTCCAATGGCTTCAGGCTTTCAGCCCACCAATAGGCAAATTGATGCCTTTACATCAGCAATTAATGTTCATCCTCAAGTCAGCAGGATTTCACTGGTTGCAAATGATGCTCACACAAATGATCAGCCTTACAGGTTTCCCTGTGTGCCTGGGGAATCCTTCTTAACTGAACACGAGAGCCTTGGAAAAGGAACCCACTCTCTTCCCTAAGGTTTACCCTCCTTAACCTACTGGCCTGCCAAACCACAACCTCACCCCCGTTGCTGGAGCTTGCCATCGTGGACTCCAGTGAGACCCTTAAACACTGAGACAAATTGATCTTGTGTTACACACCTCTGTCTCAAGTTGCTGGAGACTGATTTTCCAGCAGCTGATGATTCTCTGGCTCCTCCCCACCCACACTCAACCTTTTAACTTTTGAGGAAATCCAGTGCTCTGTATCATTCAGCCCCAGGTATTAGCTAGGTCTCAGTTGGTAGAGCTTTTGCCTCTCAGTCAGGAGATTTGAGGTTTCAAGTTCCATATCAGAAAAATCAAAGCTGAGAGTCTAATTCTACTAGAGCTGTCAGAGATACCTTCTCTTGAATGACACATGAAGAAGTAGCCCCACTGATTCTGGCAGATGTACAGAAACGATCCCATCACCACAGAATCATTTTTAAGAGGACCATGGGAGTTATTTGCAACATTTTGGTCAATAGATGTCTCTCAGCCACTATCATAAAATCAAATTACCTGGTCATTATTGCTTTGTTGTTTGCAAGATCTTGTGCACAGACTGGGTGCTGTTTTTCCATTTGTTGCAATAGTGGCCGCACTTCAAAAGTACGATATTAGCTGCATGGGATGTTTGTGGTTGATGTGAAAGGAGCAATGTAGATTCAAGTCTTCCTTTCTAGATAATCATACCAACATCATGAACAAAAGGCAATGGGTCAAAATGACAGAAAAACCATGGTAGTTGGGGCGGTGGAGGGTGACTGGTAAGTGGGGGCAGAGGGTGTGCAGGAAAGGTGAGATATCAAATGTGCTTACTCGACAGTGAGATTGAATGGATTGAGAGTTTCACATGAGACCTTTATTCGGTTTACAGAGTGAATATCCGCAGACTACAATGTTGGGAAGAGTTGGAGCTGCAGCAGTAGGGGCAGGTAAGTTCTGTGCAACCACACAATCTTTATTTTACATGAGCATGTATCGTCTTGGGAAGGATGCTATTAAGGTTTGTCTAGCTCTAATAATACAGGTAACTTAAAGTGTAATGACACTGTCAAAATTATCATAAAGAGAACTAGATTCCCTATGTCATCCAGATTCCCTAGAAGCTTGATGGCAGGTTATGCTCTAAGGTCTGGTGTTTGAATCCCACCACAGACTGCAAAATTTGAAATTTCTTATAAAAGTCTAGAATTAAAAGTCTGATGGTGACCCTGAAATGATTGCTGTCATAAAAACCCATCTTGTTCACTAATGCCCTTTAGAAAAGAAAATCTTTCTATCCTTGTCTGGTCTACATTTGACTCCAGATTCACAGCAATTCCCTCTGAAGTGACCTTGCAAGGGACTCAGTTTTATTTAACCACTAAAAAGCCTAAATAGAAAGGAATGAAACTGGACAGACCACCTGACATTAACCTAGGCACTGGAAACTCAGCTTTGTTATCCCAGCAAAGTCCTTTGTACCAACATTCACTAACACTCATTTGCCTAGTGTCAAAATTGGGAGAGCTGACAGACCAGCGAGCCCAACTAGTTACGCTCAGGAATATTCATTGTCGGTAAGGTATGATTCCATAAGTCTGACAATGTCCTAGACATCACCATCTCAATTCCTGGCAAAGTGGTGACACAGTGGTATATAGTCAGGAAGGAGTTGCCCTGACAGCACCCAACAATCACTGCAGATCCTATGACATCTTGTGGCATCAGGTTAAGCTTACCACACACTGCACCCCCAACACCCGCCCCCACCCCGTCTCAAAAATCCACACACACACACAAAACACACATTCAAAAACACAGACAGACACATACACACACAATCTGCAGTCTCATGTTCCAACATATCCCCTGTCTCACCATTACCATTAAGCCAGGGACCATCCTTGTTCTTTGAAGCCTTCAGGACAGCATGCCAGGAACAGCACCTAAGAAGGAGGTCTCAACCTGGTGAAGCTACAAAAGAGGTCTACTTGCATGCCAAACAACATACCCAGCTAATAATAGACAGAGCTAAATGCTCTCACAACCAATGGATCAGATCTAAGTTCTGCAATCCTACCACACCAGTTGTGTATGGTGGGGGACAATTAGACAACTCGCTGTTGGAGGACAGGTAAATGTTATCATGCTCGAAGATGATGGAGGCCAACACATCAGTGCAAAAGATAACGCTGAAGCATTTGCATCAACCCAGCCAGAAGTATCAAGTGGATGATCCAGCTCGGTTTCCTCCAGTGGTCCTTAGCTTCCTAGATGCCAGTCTTCAGCCAATTTGATTCATTCCATGTGATATCAAGAAATGGTTGGAGAAACTGGATGCTGCAAAGGCTGTTGGCCCAGAGAATATTCCAGCAATAGTACTGAAGTACTGTGCTTCAGTACTTACCACACCACTAGTCAAGCTGTTTCCATCCAGCTACAATAACTGGCATCTACCCAACAGTGTGGAATATTGTCTAGGTATGTCGTGCACACAAAAAAGCAAGGTAAATCCAAACCAGCCAATTACTGACCCATCAGTCTACTCTCAAATATTAGTAAAGTGATGGAAGGTGTTATCATTGTCTCTCTCTACATAGGAACCTTTTTTAACTTTTGAAGACTTTCCCACTCGCAGTCCCATTTTCCCCCTGCAGCTACTCGCCCTCTCACAGACCCTCACATTTTCCATAGCATCTCTTTCTGCTTTGGAGCCTCACTCTGACCTTGGTATCATTGTCCCCCTCATGGCCTCTTTGCTTTTGTTGCCCTTCTTCCGTTCCTACCTGACCATCACCCCATGGCCACCTTCCCCATCTTCTCAATCTTCCTACTCCCCTCATTTCCTTTCAAACTCATTTGGCCCTTTGCAACCACCACTCTGATGACCTTCCACCCTCTTGTTGCCCATCAACTTTCATGCGTTCCCCACATAACTTGTGTTCCCCACCCACTCCTCTCTATCAGCCCTCCATGCTTTCCATTCCAACCAACCGCCTCCTGAGGCCCCATCAGTCCCATTCCCTACAGCCACGTTCTCCCATCGCTATTGCTGCCTCCCATCCCTTTTGCTGCGTCTTTATCACTGTCCTCCCCCCTCACTGTCCCCTTACCAACTTGCTGCCTCAGTCCGCTTCACCTCGCTGCCCATTTTCCCTGTAACCCCCAGTCCACCCCTCAATGTTTGTTATTGAAATGGGGATATATTATCTTTCAGTTGTTACCGTTGCTGCTGCCCCAGTGGTTCTGGGAGCTGTGGGATTTACGAGTGCTGGAATAGCAAGTGGGTCCATTGCAGCAAGTATGATGTCCTCAGCAGCTATTGCCAATGGAGGAGAAGTAGCTGCTGGAAGTCTGGTTGCGGTCCTTCAATCTGCCGGTAAAATCCCCTGATAAGTGATGGATATTTCTCAGCATTTCTTGTTCGAAGCCTCATTGATAATGTTTGACACACTGCATTTATGACAGTACCGAATAATATTTAATGTTTCTCAGTGTAGACTTAATCGAAGCGAAGTGACATTTTTACAAGAAATATTAACGCTACTTATGTTTTAATCAACAATGTGCTAATAATATGAGATGGTAAAAACTGCCGATGCTGGATTCTAAGATAACACAGTGTGGAGCTGGAGGAACAAGCAGGCTAGGCAGCATCAGAGGAGCAGGAAAGCTGATGTTTCGGGTCAGGACTCTTCTTCAGGTCCCAACCCGAAACGTCAGCTTTCCCGATCCCTCCTTGCTAACAAAATGAGTTGGCTTTATTGTGAATACTAATAAGGAAATGAACTATCTAACAAGTTTTACTATGGATTCTGTTTTTCCCCAGAATATTATTTATATCCATATTACAAGAAATGTTGATTTTTAATAAATTTAGGACTTTTGTTTTTCTTTTCTTTGCAGAGGCAGTTGGAAGACCAGCAGCTGTCAACGTTGGACTGGGAACTGCAGGTGCCTTTATCGGGTCATTGGCAAAATTTCTAAAATAAACCAAAAATTAAACAGACATTCTGTTTTCTATTCTGAATATCGCAGGAGACAAAATGTAACTGCAAGTCAATAAACATACTGATTATTCCAAAATAGCTGCCTATGTTGTTTTGCCTTCCTGGATATTGCATTGTGAAAGATTTTATTCAGAAGCTAACTGGACCAGTTATATAAATACTAAGTCTGCATGAGCAGGTCCAAAATTGGGAGTTGAGTAAATCACCTCCTGACCCTCCAAAACCTGTCTTCCATCTACAAGGCACTAGTCAGAAATGCGATGGAATACTCTCCATCTGCCTGGAAGTGTGCAACTTCAACAACACTAAAAGTGCTCAACACCATTCAGGGCAAAGCAGCCCATTTAATTGGCACTCGATCTAACACCTTCAACATTCACTCCATCCCTCACTGACTGACACACAATGGCAATTATGTACTGCCCAAAAGATGCACTGTAACAACTCACCAAGGCTCCTTAAACAGCAACCTTCAAATGCATGACCTCAACTACCACGAAGGGCAAGGGTTGCAGATACATGGGAACAGCATCACCTGCAAGGTCCACTCCAAGTCACACATCATCCCAACTTGGAAATTTGTCACTGTTCCTTCCCTATCATTAGGGCATAATGTGTGAACTCCTTCCTAATAGCATTATGGGTATACTTACACCAAATGGGCTACAGCACTTCAAGAAGGAAGCTCAACACCTCCAGGGCAATTTATACTGACCTAGCCTGCAATATCCATATCTTAAATATTATACTGCAGTTTAACTCAAACCCAAACATCCAGATCAACAGTATCCAGTTTCTCTCACAAATCTAGCCACTAAACGTTCACTACATTTCTTTTTGGATTATTGTGCTTTATTAGTAGTGTTCTTTGAGAAATTCATAATTATTTCTGGCCTACCTCAGTTCTATGTTATCAGAGTTTAGGTATGTCTGTTGTGCATTTATTTAGAAATATGGTGGCTGCTTTAAAGAGGAGGGACATCTTCTTCCCCAACATGTCACCTGGTTTGTAAATTTAAGGGTTTGGATAATCTGTACTATTCAAAATGCTAAATTTTCAATTCAATTGAACTTTTGATCCACAACAACATTTTAAGTCAATATGACAAATTATGATGTCAGCCCTCCAACACACTTACGTGCTTAAAAGTTTTATATCTTCCACACCCTGTAAGCATACAGTATTCAATTAATGTCTGAGGAAATAAAACTGAAACCAATGATGCAGGTTTGATTTCTTGAATAAACCTGTTCAGAGATGTTATTATTCACCTTTGGAGCAGGTGGGACTGGACCCAGGCCTCTAGGCTCAAAGGTAGGAACATTATCACTGCATCACAAAGGTCCCTGGTTTGATTTCTTGAATCTTAGCTTTGTTGAAATATTATTAAAAATTGGACACTGAAAAAATAAATGACATTTTTTGACTTCTCTACTGAACTGCGGTTATGAACCACTGGAGGTAGTCTCACTGATTTAAAAAAAAGTCTCAGCTGTGAAGATCGCTGAAAATTGAATGAGTCAAACTCACCAAGTGTTGTAATTGTGCTCAGAAATGGGTGTGCAGCAGGTCTTGCTAACCAGAAGTGTTTATTGAAGGCTAAAAATAACATAAAAAGCAAAAAAGGGATCCTGGAATGACTGTGCTGGACTAAGTCCCAACATGTGATCTGATGTCACTTCCTGTGTTGTTACAAGTTACCTTATTGACACGGACTGCCCTTTTGATAAATTGAGCGTTAGGAAATAGCAGACTCTTCTCAGTTGTTATCTGTACTTCACCAAACATTAAGTTGCTCCCAAGACCACTAGTACTTCAATTTCTGTCTTTGGATACCCTTAACATTATACTAGGTGATAACCAAGACATTTGAAAGAAATTTCTAATCATGATTCAATACAGTGAAGCTGCTCTATTCTTTGCATCCTTGGTCATGCAGTAAAATTTGCAGGATCCAGCTTTCACTGGTTAACAGAAGGAATACTGATTGTGAAAGCAACCATTTAATTATTTTTCCCTTGCCAGTTGCTAGTAAGCATTTGAAATCATATGCCCAGCTGAATGAATACCACCATAGCAAGTGATCATATATGAAGAAAATTATGAAGAAGGGTCACTGGATCCAAAACATTAACTCTACTTTCTCTTCCACAGATGCTGCCAGACCAGCTACAGTTTTCTAGCAATTTCTATTTTTGTATAAAGAGCATCAGTTGTTACTGCTTATGCTGTTATTAAACGTCCAATGGCAGAACTGAAGCTTGTGTCCCAACAGTGTTCATGTGCAGTTATTTGTACACCTTCTGGTGGGTTTAACCTGGGCGTATTTGGCGATTGGTGGTAGGGAGAGTGGGGAGTGGAACACATTGCACATTTCAGTTGATGAAGCATAAGAATCCAGATTGTACTCTGTTAAATAATGCAGACTTTACTGAATTTCTGTAATAATTACATGTTGTTTCCTCCATGAGTGGCAGGCATCATTCACTACTGATTGCCCCTCAGAAGGTTATGGTGAACCAGGGGACAGATACAATCACAATGCTGTTAGGAAGGGAGTTGTGAGATTTTGACCCAACACCAATGACGGAATGGTGATACAGTTCCACATCAGGATATTAATCAGTTCAGCACTAATATATTCACAAAGTACAAGTGCAATTCTTTTCATATTTTTATTCATCAGACCATCATTATTTGTGCAATGTTCAAGCTGATGACTGATGCTTTCCTATCTGACCAGTGGCAGCACTCCCAGTGTGTCTCCCTTTTGCCTATGGGGTAACTGTTCCTCTCCATAAATTTCTCTCTCTCTAATTTTTCTGAAGTTAAATGATTATTTCATATTTCCTAGATTCTGCGTAGGTCAGACATAGGTTCAAATCAAGTAAGATGTTGATTGATGTTAAACTGCAAACCATCTAGTGAACTAGTTAATGGGTGAAGTTTTACTGATCAGATATATTTCAGAACCCCGTGAACAGAGGAAGGAAATGGGAGCAGTGCACTGTGTAGTCTTGCACAGTCAGCAGATAGTTGTGAGGACACAACTGAGGTTGCAATAGTTGCTTCTCTTGAGGTCATTGTGAGAGCTTCGGTGAATGTCAGGAGTGAAGCAGCAGCAACTGTCTCTAAAAAAGGGACCTGGTAACGAGGTGAGTTTTACCTTCCTAAACAGCAACGTATAAAAAGGAAGCAAACTGTGGTGGGTGTGGCCTTTTTGAACATGGGTTGGGATACGCTGCTGTTGAGGTCAAAGTACAGGCTTTGGTGAGAATCGGATCGCTGAGGGGAGTGAGCAGCAAGGTGAGGTTTGTATCCAGTAGTTGGGAGAGGGGTAGTAATGGCTGTCAGTGGAGTGGTATGCTCCTCCTGTGAGATGTGGGAAATCAGGGAAAAGTCAAATGTCCTTGACGAGGATGTCGGCAGGAAGTGTGTCCACCTGCAGCTCCTCTCAGACTGTACGGATTAGTTGGAGTAGTAGTCGGTCTCACTGAGGAGCACGCAGGAGGCAGAATGTTTTATAGATAGGAATTTCAGGGATGTGGTCACACCGAAGGTTCAGTCAGATAGATGGGTGGCCACCAGTTGGAGTAGGCAGGCAGTGCAGGAGTCCCCTGTGGCTGTTCCCTTCTCAAACAACAATATTATTTTGGATACTGTTGGGGGGATGGCCTCTAAGGGGAAAGCAGCAGCAGCCAGATCATTGGCACCATGGTGGGCTCGGGATCTGTTGTACAGCAGGGAGGCTCAAAGTATCAGCAAGCAGCACTGATAGGGGTAGACAAACAGGAGGCTGGTAGAGCAAGCCAGGCAGCATCTGGAGGAAAGAAAGTCAACATTTTGGGTATTACCCTTCTTCAGGTCCTTCTCCTTTCCTCTAGATGCTGCCTAGTTTGCCGTGTTCATCCAGCCTCCTGTTTGTTTACCTTGGATTCCTGCATGTGCAGTTTTTTAGTCTCTAACCAAGTACTGATAGGGAACTGTACAGTCAGTGGCACAGACAGACATTTCTGTGGCTACGAACGAGACTCGAGCTGTCAGTGTCAAGGATATCTCCGAGCAGGCACAGCGCACTTTGAGAGGATGGCGGGGGGAGGGGTGGTGAGCAGCCAAAGGCGATAGTCTATTTTGGTACGGACAACATAGGCAGGAAGAGAGATGAGGTCCTGCAAAGGGAATTTAGGGAGTTAGGTAGAAAGTTGAAGAGCTCTAGGCTTGTAATCTCTGTGCCATGTGCTAGTGAGACCAGAAATAGGAAGATAATACAGTTGAATGTGTGGCTAAAATAAACCAGTGTAGGAGGAAGAGCTTTAGCTATCTGGATCATTAGGATCTTTTGCAGAGCAGAAGCGATCAGTACAAGAAGGATTTGTTGCATCTGAATTGGAGGGGCACACGTATCCTTGCAAGGAGTTTTGCTAGCGCCATTCAGAAGGGTTTAAATTGGCATGGCAGAGGGACAGCAACCAGAGCAGAAGGTCATCATGTGGAGTGATTGATGAGAAGGTAGAGGTTAATTCAAGTAAATCTAATAGGAAGAACAGACAGGGCGAGGTTAATGAACACGACAGGACTGGCAGTCTGAAGTCTATTTATTTTAACATAAGGAATGTAACAGGTAAGGCAGAGGAGCTTAGAGTCTGGATTAGTATATGTAACTATGACGTTGAAGCCATTCAAGAAACTTGGCCAGGGTTTAGATATTTTAGGTGTGATAAGGAGGGATGTAAAAGGGTGGGACAGTTGCATTATCACTAAGGAGAATGTCACAGCTGCACTAAGAGAGGACATCTTGAATGGTTTATCCAGTGAGGTAATATGGGTAGAACTCAGGAATGAGAAAAATGCAATCACTCTGATGGGGTTATACGATAGGCCTTGTAATAGCTAGTGGGAGATAGAGGAGCAGATATTTAGGCAGATCGTGGAAAGATGTAAAAACAACAGGGTTGTTGTGGGTAATGCTAACTTCCCCAATATTGTGAGGGACCCGCTTAGTGGCAGGGGCTTATATGCGGCAGAATTTGTTAGGTGTATCCAGGAGGCTTTCTTGCAACAACATGTAGATAGTT